TCTACCTCTGGACAGTTCTATTTATTTCAAAGGTGTTTCTTTTGTTGAATCAAATCTGCCTGCATATAAGTCCCCTGCTTTGGTCCTAGCTAGTGAGTGAGCCTAGCCAACCACTCAGTCTCTACTCCAGGAAATAGCCCACCACTTATGAAAATGTTTCTTAGGCCCAAAACACAAGTTTTGGAGAAGCACAAGAGAAAGTCTACTGTAGCAGAAAAGCTAATAGGTAGAAGAGGGATTGGACTTTTCTACGTGGCCCTGAAAGCCAAAGTCAGGCTGCAGAATCAGCAGGTGGAAGGCTTGTAAGAAGCCCCTAAAAACCCAGTTGTACTCATATCAGCTAATATGCTCTACTAGATCCCATGGAAGCTAGAGAGGAGCAGAAAACTTCAGCCTTTGCTTTGTAGAAGTTCACATTCCCACCAGGAAGAGGAGAAGGAATGGAAGGAGTTGAAGAAACATATGATCCTAAAATCTGAGACCTGGTTCAGATTTATCAGACCTTGACTGATGGGCAGCTCCAGTCTCAGTGAAAGGCACTGGACTTAGAGCTGACGGCCATGGCTTCCAGAGCTTCCTACTTTTGCCATGAAGAAAGCTTCAAGTCTCTCTGTGACAGCCCTGGCTCAAACTTCATCATGAAGATTTGATCCAGCTCTACGTTCTTGGAAGGGATGTTAGCTCACAAACAGAGAGAGACTGGGACAGCCCCCCAATATGTGGGAAGAGTAAAAAGAAACATGAAAAAAAAATCTCCCTGCTACATGAGAGAGGCAGCAAATTAAGATAACAGATTAAGGGGAACAGACGAAGAGGGGCTTCATCACCACAGCAACAAGCCCAATAATTCTGAAAGATGGGATTTTTCTTTTTCTTTTCACCTGTCACTCTTCCCTGTACTGTCATTCTCTTTCCCTCTCCTGGTGGGAGACAAGTTGTGACATTTTTCACTCCCACCAACAAGCTGCCTGGCTTTTTGGAAGTATGGCTGCTGCAGGATTGGAGGAGAATGGGGTCTCCCAGAGGGGTGCTCAGGAGCCTCAAATTCCATCTCTCCCTTTTCTTTAGTCAGAACTGAAAAGTGTGTGGCTTGCCTGTAGACTGTGAACAAAGCTGTTTGTACTCAAGCCCAGGAGGAAGCCCCCCTCTTGTATGGACACTTGGTCAGAGGAGGAATCGGAGCTCTGGTCCTCAAATAAAAGGGATTTCTCTCCCCACCCCAGGATGCCCCATCATGAATCAAAGACAGTCAGTAACAGCAACTGAACAGAAGGCCGTGGTCTCGGGGATCTTTAGAAAGAACTAAAAAACCTAAGGATGATGCTATCAGAAAGCTAATGGCACACATAAGGAAAGTCACAAAGCCTTGCCTAAATGTAAGGTCCTCTGCTGTCTGGGCTAAGAAGACAACAACACCACTCCTTCATCCCACACTCTATCAAATTATGCCATATTTGAACAGTTGTGCTACGTCTAAGTTTGCTAATATGGGTGGTGATAGGGTCCAGGTACCCCTTCACTCCAGAGGTCTTTTCTGATCCCGCTACTACAGAATCATCTTGGCATAAAGAAGGCTCAAGGACAGTATTTGTTTTGCAAGATGTAGTAGTCATTTAATGCTCTTTGGGTGTATGGGATGTGCATCCTCCCCCTACTATCTCCATGAACCAGAGACCTCCTTCTGAATGTAGATGCTCTCCACCTCCAGACATAATCAGACACTCAGTCACTGGGCCCGCTTCATCCTGCAGTTATATAGCATATGGCCCCTACTCCCATATGAAGATCTTCCTTCCCCAGATATATCAGAAGGCCAAGGAGGCAGCTACCTTTGTAAGGACTGTTGGAGATAGTAACAGAAAACGGATGCCTACCACTCCCTTATCCTTGAAGGCAAGCCACACTGAGAACTGGGAAGAAGTTATGAGGAAGGAAACAGCCTTGGTGGAAGGAGGCAAGGTGCACTTCAGCTATTGAAAGACTGATCACTTGTGGAGTCAGCAGGACGTGGTCCTTATACCACAGCCTTCTTGTCTACCAACTTCCCTGAATTTTGTTTCCCATTCCCTCCCTCTAAGCATTACTGTCAATCACTCCTTGCTAAAGTGTAAGCTGATAGTACGTTACAATGCCCACCCACCCCGGCCATACTCAAGTCCACACAGAACATAACCATAAGTTCTGATAACCATAAGTCTTCCAAGGAATCTAAACAATTACTCTCCAGAGGTAGAATTTCAGATCCTTTGAAAAGAAAACAGAGAGACATTTTGTGTGCCCTGCAAATTACGCCAAGTGGGAATTTACTTGTTCAGCCAACTCTTGAACCACGCACCAACCTCATTTTTGCACATTTCCCTTATCAGGCCATAATACCAGAGCAGGAGAAATTCTGCCCCTTTGAACAGTCATTTCCACTGCTTCCAAAGCCAGGCTATGCCTTGCCAAGTGTAACCCATATTCAGAGCCATCTGCTTTAGCAATATAGGAAGCAACCAAGGGGGTGTGTTTAGATTTATCTACAGATCTGCTGGCCAAGGCTGCTTCTGGGGTGAGGTGGGGAGCAAGGAGGCAGGCTGCTATTTGCCAGCTGCAGAACCCATGCTCAACCCAGCTGAATCCTGTACAATGCGCCTATAGAACTAGGGCAGAGGTTACTGACTTGGTCAGTAGGAACCCCCTTTTTCACATGCCCAGATTCCAACAGGCAACTGTCAGAGTTGCCCCTAGGGTAACACAGTTCACCCCTTGTGGGGCTAGCCTACATCCTCACCTGAAAAAGAACACATGAACAAGTATAAAGGCCATGTCCTGCCCAGCACCACCAACCAGCCAACTATGGTGTGTACCTGTGCCAGTTGAGGCATGCATTTCATTTTAATTCAATGAGACTCTTGTTTGACCTGAGAGAACAATATAAGCAAACGTGTTAAAGCCACCACGACATCTGGGGATGATATGCTTCAAAGATTTAAAGATATTCTCTCGCTTGTGTCAAAAATTTGATTGAGCAGGTTGCCCCCTCTCTCTGAGCCCTTCCCTCCCACCATGACCACCAGTTTTCCTTTTATTGTTCTCACCCCTTGGGAAGGTGTTGTCCCTCAGCATTTTGAACCCCACTGGAGATGACAGAACTCAGGGATGGTCTCACTAGACTTATGACCTTTCTCAGGCTCTGCAGGGTGAGCTCTGTCCACATTTCTTAGACATGGGTACTTGTCATCTAGCCCCTAGGAATGAAGTACCCTGCTCCACGCCCCTGCTCATCCAAAGCCAGTGCAAGATCTTCCATTATAGGCAACAGAAATTTTTAAAAGTCAGCCACCTGGTCTACCTCCAGTGTGTTTTAGCAAGCACTTTCAATGGAGAAATGACACCAATTAAGTATAATTATTAGAATTTAATAGAGCCATTTTTCTATCTCAGTGCCTTTTTACTATTTGAAGCCCCCTAGTGTTTTTTTTCTCTTCCTAAATTGGGACTCAGAGCAGTAAGTTAAAGGTATATATCTGTTGGTCTTTTTTATACATATAATAACTGTCTTATTATACTGAGAGCAAATGCACGTCTAGGGAAAAGTTCGTTTTAAGTACCAATTCTCAGAAAAATGCCCGGAGACATAAACAATGAGCTAAGCCAGTGTGTTGCTGGGTAACAATGTAGGGGCAGGAACTGAGCTGAAAAACAAGGAACAAGGTTTTCTGAAACAATGGGGTAAGCGCAGGGGTGTAGGTGTTGGTAGAAGCTGCCCTGAATTTTCGGGGATATCTCCCACTCTAGAAAAGGCTTTGGGGAGAGGGAAAAGGTGATTATAAATTAAGCATAATCAAGGATGCTGGGAAATTTGTTAGATGCATACCTTTTTTTTTTCTTGGGAATGTTTTTGCACTTAGGCAATGAGTAAAAAGCTTTTCCAACTGTTACGAATGTTAAAGAGGGTTATGGGGTTGCGTGTATGTGCGTAAACATGTTGTTGCTTAGATGGTCTTTAGCCTCTTGGCTCACTTTACTTTTTCCCCCTCCCCTCCCCTCCCTCCTGTTTCTAGGACAAGACAAGTGCTCTGAGCCTCAGCAATGTGGCAGGAGTGTTCTACATCCTGATCGGAGGACTTGGGCTAGCCATGCTGGTTGCCTTAATCGAGTTCTGCTACAAATCCCGTAGTGAATCCAAGCGGATGAAGGTGGCATCGTCTTCCCAGGCCTTTTTCCTAAACTGTTCTGTGATGCAACTGGGTTTCAGAGGGGTCCCTTTGCTAGAGAAAGTGGAGAGTGACAAGAAATTGAGGTCAGCCCAAAGCAAGAGGTAAAAAGCTATTAGGAGGAAGGTGACAGAGAGGCAGCCATGAGAAAGGAAGGAAAGTGGTATGTGTCAGAGACAAACATAAAGCCCAAGAAAACAACTACATCAGCCAGAGATGGAGTAGTAAGCTAAAGTTTAGGAGTTTGTGTGGACAGTCATCACAGCCTGACGGAAGAGTGATCACTAGAAAGGCTGATTCTCTCCCAGGTTGCATCAATAGAAGTATAGCTCCCAAAATGAGGGAGGGGATGTCTACCTTGTGCTCTGTGCTGATCTCACATGCATGGTGAATTGGGTTCTTTCTTAGCCACCACATTATAAGATGAACATTGGCCAGAGGAGCATTTGCAGACAAGGGTGAGCAGATTCGTTAGAGGATCCAAACCACATCAAATATAGCTGAAGGAACCTTGAGAAGAGAATTATGGAGGATGTGAGAGCTGTCTGTAAAAATATGGAGACTCTTCAGGGAGAAAGAAAACAAACTAGTTCTATGGGGCTCCAAAGAACTAATGACTGAAAACAACAGGGAACAGATGTAAGCACAATAAGCAAGATCTACTTTTCTAACAGAGCTACCCAAATATGGGATGGACTATCCCAATAGGTAGCAAGCTCTTCATCACTGGAGGTATGCAAGCAGAAGCTGAATAACTCTAGGCAAGAATATAGATTGAAACACCCAAAGGGAATTTGGTTTAAATAACCTCCAAAAAACAAAACGAACAAAACCAGTTGCTGTTGAGTCAACACCAACTCATGGCGACCCCATGTGTGTCAGAGTAGAACTGTGCTCCATAGGGTTTTCAGTGGGTGATTTTTCAGTAGTGTACCAGGCCTTTCTTCCGAGGTGCCTTGGGTGGATTTCAGACACTAAACTTTTGGTTGCACCACCCAAGGATTCCTCCAACACCCCTCATATTTCATCATTTAGCCTCATTAAGAAAATATTTATGGAGATGTTAACCATGTGAACAACACCATGCACAAGGCATCTTGGGGGAGGCAGAGAGGTGAGATATACAGTCCTTGACCTTCAGCACCTTTCAATATCAACAGAGAATGAGCCCAGAAAAAATTACTTAATGAGGTAGCCTATGGCATAGACAGGAAAGCCTACAGGAGTTTAGAGAAGAAAGTAACTGGAGAAGGCTTCCAGGAAGACACAGGATCTAAAGGAAGGACGAGTGGGACTTAGACCAAGAGAATGGGAGAAGTGCACAGTCACAGATGACATGTTGTGGTTGTATGGTGACTTAGGCTATTACCTTGTGTTGATTAGATGTGAGCCATTGGCAGGATTTGCTCTCCTAGAATGTGCCCTAAAAAGCCCACTTTTTGACATACTATCACTCTTCAGCTCAGCGCACCCACTGTTGGATCATGAATAGCTCCAGGTCACCCTTGGAGAAGACCTCTCTGGGCATTTGCTCCCCCTTTTTGGAAACATTGTATCACATTCTTTACATGAGGGCAGGAGGGGGTATTCTGTCCTGGCATTCAGAATTTCCACATCATAGCTCCAGCCTTCCTTCCCCTCCCAGGCAACGTGCTGTCCTCACACACTCCATGCTCCTACACCCACCCCATGCTTCCCTTCCATGTGCCTTTATGCAGGCTGGTCCTCTGTGAATACGCTGGTCCAGCCTTATATCACAGAGGGCTCATTTAACAATAATGCTACATCCCTACAATATAATAACAAAGACCAATCAAGGGATGGTAGCGTGATGGTATTTTGCAAGGGAAACTAGGACCACTTCAGTCTTACCTTTGACCAGTGCCCCCGCATCCCCCACCAGGTCTTCTTGGAAAGTGTGATTGCCTCAAGGACAAAGCACAGCAAAGCTGTGGGCCTCAGACCCTAAGCCAAGTGCAGACCTCCAGAGAGCTTGACTGGACACAACAAAGACCCCTAGTACCTAAATAAAAGTTTCTTTGCCTATTCCATCTGTCTTAGTTATCTAGTGCTGCTGTAACAGAAATATCACAAGTGGATGGTTTTAACAAACAAAAATTTATTCTCTCACAGTCTAGTAGGCTATAAGTCCAAATTCAGGGTACCAGCTCTGGGAGAAGGCTTTCTCTCTCTGTTGACTCAGGAGGAAGGTCCTTGTCATCAATCTTCCCCTGGTCTAGGAGCTTCTCAGCACAGGGACCAAAGGACATGCTTTGCTACCGGCTCTGATGTCTTAGTGGTAGGAGGTCCCCATGTCTCTCTGCTCACTTCTCTTTTATATCTCAAAAGAGATTGATTTAAGACACAACCTAATCTTGTAGATTGAGTCCTGCCTCATTAACATAACTGCCTGTAATCCTGCCTGATTAACATCATAGAGGTAGGATTTACAACACATAGGAAAATCACATCAGGTGACAAAATGGCGGATGATCACATAATACTGGGAATCATGGCCTAGCCAAGTTGACACATATTTTGGAGGGACACAGTTCAATGCCTGACACCATCCAAATCACAAGCCTAAAGACTCTCCTATCCTACTCTTCCAAAGGGAGGCAAGGCCACTGCAGAGGCAAAGAGAAGGGCAAGAGAAGAGTTGGGTGTGCTCCAACCTGTACAATGAGCAATGACACAAACCAGGGGCCCAGGCCTGGCCCAGGACTGATTAGAGGTGCTCCTTCTTACTGCTTCCTCAGGAGACAGTGCAGGGTAGTGGTCTAGAGTGCAGGCTTCAGAGCCCAGATGCCCAGGCCTCAATCCTGCCTGTTTTACTTATTAACTCTGCATCTTGGACAAGTATCAGTAACTCTGATCCTCATTTTCTTTTTCTGTAAAATGGATGCAGTGGTAGAACATACTTCATAGAATCGTTGTGAGGATTGTATAACAGATATGAAGGGGCTGCCAGAATACTAGGGCCAGAGTAAGCCGTCAATAAATAATAACAACATCAATAATAACAGCAAGCATTATATTATTACTATGATTATTATTATTATTTAGTAGCCATCTACATCCTCCTTAAAACTTTCCTTTTATTGCTCCCGCTTACATGAGCTAGGTTTCTTGAGCTATATTGATTGTGAGTTCCATAAGGTAAGAAGCTATGTCTGATTTCTCTTCAGACTTCCCAGACACATTAGATAAGTATTAGTAAAGTTAATGTGGAATTATATCCAGAAGAGAGACTCTCTTGGAGGATGAAATATGCCATGGGAGAGAGCTTCCATCAGGTTAAGAAAGTCCCACCATCAAAATCACCCAGCCTGAGAAGTACAAGGCACATCATTCAAGGTGGCTTTGATCCATCTGTTTGTGCATATAAAATCTGATAAGACCAGGCCCCAGCCCTTCCTGTAGGATTACCCTGACTCCCACTAATCATGACCAGTACCAGATGGTGGTACCAGGGTGGCTAAAGACTGTGATCCTGTTAACAATGGGACAGTGTTGACCTCACCACTGAAGTCACAATGTTCAGGTTAAGACAAGAAATCTTAGAAGAGGCTGCTGAGTCGTGACATCACCTCTTGGAGACATTCTCACCCTTTACAATGAAGATGTTTAATTTCTCAGACACCAACATCAAGGTCTCTTGGAATCATTAATTCAAGGTCTTCCATCACAGTCTCTGTTAATTACATAATTCCACTGGTTGGCACGACTTCTGACCAACTCACTGAGACTCCTAATAGAATTTTTAATCTTCCAGCTGCAGAAAAGTTACTTCCACTGTCTTTATTAATCAACCCAGCCCTTAATTTCCAAAACTCCATCAACTCCTCTCTTATCCAAAGAAGATAAGTGGAATTCATCCCAGTTGCCTCTCAGACTTCCCATTTTTGCAGTTCTCTTTATTATTCTGTGTTTTGCCTTCTCCAGAGGCAATTAGCATCGTAAGTGCAGCCTCCAACATCACACAGAGGCCTACAGCAACATGAAGAGGGCCTTTGGTGAGAATGTTCGCTCTTATTTCTTTCCTTGGTCATGGTATTTGGCCAACTCCTGAGGCCCTGAGCCCCTAACTTAGTTCAGGGCCAGCCCCACATTCCCAACCCTTTCCACAGAGCCTTTTCTCACTCTGCATGGATGAGAGAAGGAAGAGAGGACCAAGGAGCAGGGGAAAGAGAGAGACGAAAGGAAGGGAAGAGGAAAGAACTTTTTTTAGTAACTCCCATGTTTAAAGGGCTTTCATATACATTTTCATTAACCCTGTAATGTGTTGTTCTTGCAAACCTACAGATGAAGAAATAGGCGTTCAGAGAAGCTAAGTATCTTGTCCAAGGTTGCACAAGCTAGAAACTAGAGGAACAGGAATTAGACCTTAAACATGAATTCCAAGAAGCCCTTGGTACTAGCCAAAGTGCTTCCCCTAAATTTCTTTTGCCTGTGCCAACCACATTATTGTTGTTAGGTGCTGTCGAGTCAGTTCCAACTCATAGGGACCCTGTATACAACAGAACGAAATGCAGCATGGTCCTGCAACATCCTCACAATTGTTGCTATATTCGAGCCGTTTGTTGCTATATTCGAGCCGTTTGTTGCAGCTACTGTGTCAGTCCATCTTGTTGTGAGGCTTCCTCTTTTTCGCTGACTCTCTACTTTCCAAGCATGAAGTCCTTCTCCAGGGACTGGTCCTCCTGATAACATGTCCAAAGTACATGAGATAAAGTCTTGCTATCCTCACTTCCAATGAGCATTCTGGCTGTACTTCCTCCGAGATGGATTTGTTTGTTCTTCTGGCAGTCAATGGTATAGTCAATATTCTTCACTAACACCATAATTCAAATGAGTTAATTCTTCTTTGATCTTCCTTATTCCAACCACATACAAAACAAGAAAAACCTAACCCATTGCCGAAGAGTCAATTCCGACTCATAGCAACCCTGTAGGACAGAATAGAACTGTCTCATAGGGTTTCCTAGGCTGTAAATCTTTATGAAAGCAGACTGCCACATCTTTCTCCCAGGGAATGGCTGGTGGGTTTGAACTGCCAACCTTTCAGTTAGCAGCTGAGCGCCTTAACTACAGATAAACAAAAAAACAAACCCATTGCTGTCAAGTCAATTCCGACTCATAGCGACTCTTTAGGACAAAGCAGAACTGCCCCATAGAGTTTCCAAGGAGCACCTGGTGGATTCAAACTGCCGACCTTTTGGTTAGCAGCTGAACTCCCTAATCGCTATGCAACCAGGTTAACTACACATAGCACCAGATAATTTTTGGCAACTCTTTATCTGAGCACCTACTATGTGTCCTTCCAGCCTGACCACAGTGCTGGTCATAAGGATAATAAGATGCAGCCCCTACCCATGGTATATACCCCTTGCTGTGCCTTGTTGATTCTCTTTCCCCTTTGGTATGCCACATGAACAGGACAGACAGCAAGTATCACAAGGACAGTGGAAAGGCTCCTGCAGGCATTCCTTCCACAAAGACACACTGAGCACCACTGGGTGCTAGGCATTGTTCAGCACTGGGGACACAGACACAGTTTTTATTCTCAGAAAGCTGAGAGTTTGATAGGGAAGATCAAAAGTATACAAATATGTACATATGCAATGAGTGTTATGAAGAAAGATGCCTGTCAAGTATAGGGCAGAGGGCTGGTCCTGATCAGGGAGCAGGCGTGTGGGAGGTGAGAGCAGCTTCCCTGAGAAACTGATGTTTAATAGGCTTGAAGCGTGGAGAGGAATTAATCAAGGAATGAGAGTTGTTAGCAAAGGACCCACAAATGTCAGAGACACAAAGCCTAGAACTCCTGCTTGGAAATGGGAAGAAGACCAGGGAGCCCAGGATATAGAAAGACTGAGGGAAAGGGATAGCATGTGCGAATCAGGGCGTCCTAGAGGGACTTCAGGCAGCCCTTAACATTGGAGTATAATGCAAACTGGCATATAGTATCAAAAATATATAACCTAAGACACTTTCTAAATTGAATAAAGGCTCAGATTCCCTATAGCCTCTCTTCAGTCTGAAAACAGACTGTAACTTGAGTTCTTAGCTGATGTTTAGGAAACAAGGGTCTCTGTTATTCACCACCTTGCTCCCAAAGGAAAATAATCTCCAGCCTCTCCCACCCCCAGGAGAGCTGCTGCCCTTTCATAATTATATGTGGCTGTGCTAACACGGGGTGTATTGAAGCAAGAGCAATTGAAGCCTTGCACATCTCCCTGGAATTTGTGAGCAGCTGAGAGACTCGATAGCACAGGGGGAGCATCTTCCACGGCAGGTGGTCACTGTGCTTCTTAGCACACGTGATCCTGATGAGGTCATTACTGAGGTCTGAGCTTTCATTAGGGTGTTCTGTGATGCACAGAGGCTGGGTAGACTTTTTTTTCAGAAAGGCAAGTGGCTGAAAAGTCAGGATGTAATCACCATTATAGAAATGAGCCTCCAACGAGCCAATTTGGGGTTGGACTTTTTACCCTGAGTATCCGTTTCAAAAACAACAAAGACAACTATGAACTATAAGAATGTCTGGTCTATCGGGGTAGACAATAGAAAACTCTATTTCTCAAAGGCAAGGGGAGGAATGACATCAGCTTAAACATCAGCTGATGACAGTTTAGCTATAGAGAACCATGCCACTTTGTCACTAGGTTACATATACCTGTACCCTTAAGCAGAGGCCTAGCAAGGAGGGCGGGGAACAGGTAGGGCGCCATGTCCTGGGCATCACATTCGTGCCCTAGGTGCCACTTGAGGTGGTGCGCCAATTAGCAGTTTCTATTGACCGTGAGAGTTTCCATGCCAGCTGTGAGAGATCATTCAGCTATTTAACACTAATTGTCCTAGGTGTTATTTTCCATACTTAGGCCCCTGCCCTTAAGCAAGTCAATTTTAAGCCCTCAGTTTCTCTGTAAAATGAATAGGATAAACTAGATCAGTGTTTTTCAACCTTGCTTGCATATTAGAATATGGGGAGGTTTTAAAACTCGTTCCAATTACATTTTGCATATTTTATTATTCAAACAAGTCCTGCATCCCCTTAACAAATGCTGTTGGAGGTAGGATAGCATTTTTCCTGAAGTAAATCAAATGTAATATTTCATTTAACCCAATGATAATATATCCCTGATTTAAAAAATTCAAAGCATTTTCACGCAGTAACACAACTCTTGCTCTTAAAACTCTGTAGGTGCATAGATCATCGTATTTTACAGAGGTGGCAAATAAGGAAAGTCTAGAGAGGTAAGGGGAGTCCCTGGGTGGCACAAAAAGGTAAGCATTTGGCTACTAACCAAAAGGTTGGTGGTTCGAATCTATCCAGAGGTACCTCAGAAGAAAGGGATCTATTTCTGAAAAGTCACGGCCATTGAAAACCCTATAGAGCAAAGTTCTACTCTGAAACACATGGGGTCGCCATGAGTCAGAATCGACTTGACTCTATGGCAACTGGTTTGGTTTGTTTTTTTGGTTAGAAAAATAAAGAGATATGTACAGGGTCACACAACTAGTTAATGTCAGAACCAAAACTAGAACCCAAGTTTCCTGCATCCCATTCCCAGAAGCTTTTCCACCTGGTCATGTTACTACATGTATCATTATCAACAATATCATGAAATTATTCCACCTTTAGAAATCACTGAACGTAAGAACTGGAAAAGATCTTAGAGATCACTCAGTCTAACATACTCATTAAAGAGAGACAACCTGAGGCCCAGAGAGAGGATCAGACTTGTCCATAGCCACAAAACAGTTTTGTGGGTTCACGAGAAATCAAGATTATCATTATAGGTTAGGAAAGGAGCCGGACAGAAAGGATAGTTGGGGTGGTATTTTAGGTCCAGTTTTGATTCCTCCTTGCCAGTCATTGCCAAGGACCCGGGGAAGAACCCCCGGTCCTCCTGAAAAGGGTTTCTGTTTGATCCCACAGCAATCCATCAACGAAGCCATACGGACTTCAACTCTCCCTCGGAACAGTGGGGCAGGAGCCAGCGGCAGCGGCAGTGGAGAGAATGGCCGGGTGGTCAGCCACGACTTCCCCAAGTCCATGCAGTCGATTCCTTGCATGAGCCACAGTTCAGGGATGCCCTTGGGAGCGACAGGATTGTAACTGGAGTAGGCTCAGGCTCCCCCTGCCCAATCCCAAACCCTTCAGTGCCAAAAACAACGACAAAATGAAACACAACCGCCACCAACCACCACGACCACAAGGAGGATGATTCAACAGAGTTTCCTGAAGAATTAAAAAACCATTTTGCTGTCCCTTTTCCTTTTTTGATGTTCTTTCACCCTTTTCCGTTTGCTAAGTGAGGATGATAAATAACACTTTGTACTGCAATAAGAGGAGAGCAACCCTGTCTAATGAAGTCTGTGTCTCTGAAAATGGAGTCACTGGAACACTAATGAGGAAACTGTACTGTGTTCTTTTAATTGGGCTGTTAACGTGTCTTAGCGTGTGCAATATTTTTTTTCTTAGTAATATCCATGGTTTGTAAGTTCTTTTAGGCTCCTTCTTTCTCCTTACTTACTCCCAACTCCCTATCCATCCTTCTTCAGTTTTTAGGTTTGAGATTCAAGATTTGTTCCACCTTATAGGCAAGCAAAAGGAAAAAATGCAACCTTCAAACTAATCTGCCATGGGGGCTCTCCAAGTTACCCTCCAGTCCTTAGCCCCCAAGCCGTGGATGGAGACAGACGTTGTTGTTAGAAGAATGGGCTGCGTTCCCCAGATGGAATACCGCCTAAACACTGATTGAGCTGAGACTGCTTGTGAAAAGCAGCCCAGAACGAGGGTGCTGGAGAGGGCAAGACAGATGTGCAGTCAAAGAAGGACTTATGAAGCTATTGCTAGAGACTCAGAAAAGCTTCTTTCATGTGTAGGAACCCTTCATAGGTCTTATATGGAGCAGTATGGTTCTTCACAGTGTCAACCTCAACCCTGAGTAGTATGTCCTTCTGCTGTGCTGAGGTCCAAAGGCACCCTGGCAGCTGAAGGGTAGTCGGCCTCCTGGACTAAGAAGAGCCTTGACAACGCTGATGGCCAGGGAGGTATCACCCACAATTCTCACTTTTCCCTTGCTTGACATCTGAGCAGGGAACCCTGGTGTTGAATAGACTTTCTTTCTTTGCAGAGCCTCAGATATGGGGGAAATGCTGTGCTAAGTGCAAAGGAAGGGTGATGGAAGAATTTTGGAGGAGTAAGCCCCAGCAAAGCCCAGAAGCGATAGAGCCTTCCATCATGTGCCCTGTCCTAGGTTTGAGAGACCAAATATGAAGCTCAGGGTTTTGCTGAAACAGACAACTTGGGTTTTTATGTCAATATAAAGATTGTTAATTTAGCATGTGGCCAGCTAACAATCTATCACCTTTATAAAGCAAGATGCCCAAGGTGGAATTATTTGAAAGTGAATAGGGATATGGATTGATAATGACACTGACATTCGGGGACTTTAAGAGCCCTGACCCTGACTTCTAGCCCAAGGAGGCTGACCTTCAACCTGGTTAAGACAGAATAAGGACATTGTATTCTAATGACCAGAATCAATACACCTACAATTGTGTCTATAAAGCAGAACAAAATCAAGATTGGAGAAGTGACAGGGTTCATGGAGAGAAGCCCAGGCTGACTGCAGCTTTGGTTGGGGGAGCTATACAAGGTCCCTGGTACACAGCTTTCTTGGAGATTCCAACTTTCATTCTTGGTGCAGTTGGCTTCCAGCTCTCCAGCAGCCACTCTCCTAGGTGCATGAATCAGTGCGTGCCATGTGTCATTAGCTTTTATTGATAACCATATTCTGGCTTGTTCCCTTACCCCTACTTCTAACCAGTCTTCTCTGCTAGAGGTTATCATTCGCAATTGACAAGCTAAAGGTATTGGAACCTACCTTGGGGTAGGTGCAGCATGATTGGCTTCATCTGTGGATTCTCTCAGTGGACACCCACCATCTCTGTGTCTCTCTTGTTCTCCTTCCATCAGCCACAACAAAGAAAACTCTTCGTCCTGTCAACTCAAGTGTTGTTGTTCAGTCTCTCATATGTCAATGTGGGCACGGTACATAAACCAGGACCTTCAAGATGGATTATCGCTTTTCAGTACTACCAGCCGATGCCTCCCCACCCTGCTCCTGCCCTTGCACCAATACCAGATTTTTCTCAACCCTTAGCCTACCACTGCAGAATCTGATATGTCCCAGTATTAGAGAGTCTGCATTTTGGAGGAGATGGAAACAAGCCCCTACCATCAACATGCTTCAAAGACTTTTTGCCTTTGGCCTGTAAGACACCACTCCAGCCACTGAGGGCACCAGTAACATGATCTGAAAAGGAGAGACCGTCTTTGCTAGAAATGAGAGCCTATGTTGTGTGTGGGTCCAAGACTCCAGTAGAAGATGCTTTTCATTAATGGAGGGGTGAAGGGGAAAACAAAAGCAAGAAAAAAGTTAACTTGTATTATGTATTTTTACTACACTTTTCTTAAAAATAGAGCAATGGGAAAACTCTGAAAGAGATTGACATTTTTCTCAACAGGAATCCATACTTAACAGTTCTGGCTTTCATTAAATTTTGCTCTTTGGTACCTGGGCCTTTTATTTAACATCTATATTTGTTTTAACTCTCTTGGTAGATGTGTGAAAGGATTTTTGCTTGATCAAACACTAAATATTTTTTTGGCTCCTGTTTTTATTTCAAATAGACAGGGTTTTTTTTTTCTCTCTCTCTTTTTTTTTTTTTTTTGGTATTTGCATAAAATGAAAACATCACCGAGAATTAAATCACTGTGGATCCATTATCTACTTTTCATTTTTGTCCATTTCATTTTCGTGCCATTTCTGAAGCTGGGGCTCTAGAGATTGCTATTCCCTTATGTGTAAGCCTGAGTTCAGTAGATTTTTAAGGGTAACCACTGTGCCTCACTGACAAACAGCCCTCAAACCAACCCTTTCAGCTGAACTAGATCACCGTGAGTGATTCATCCAAACAGGATAACAGAAAAAGACAAAGAGTGGTATTGAGTTGTCAAGGGCCACAGTTCTAATCACTTAAAGAGAATAGTTTGACTTGTAGCTGTCACAGTGTCTCTAGGGAACTGCATGGCTCACAAGAAATTTCTCTCAGAAGTCCCCAAACTGGAATCCAGGTATATCTCTGATGTGGACAGAGCCACAGCCAGAATAATAAAATCTAGCCTGGGCTAATATGTAGATAATCTTGGTCTTCAAAATACACCACCCTCATTCTTGTCTGTAAGCTTTTTTTTCCTCAAGTAAGATGGGCTTTCCATAAAGGATCTGACACTCATTGACATTTAGATATTGTTGATTAAGAACAGCTTTAAGTGTTTTCTTTCCCAAGAAACTTTGCCTTTGAATAGGAGCCAGAGGTCTAAAATAAATGAATAAACTCTAACACTGGTATTTCAGGCAGTCACTACCATGGTAGAGAAGTATTGGGAGAAAAGACAAACTAGCAGGCTTGTATGAAGTTCCAGTCATCATTCTCATCCACTTGCAGTTACCAACACAGATGTACTCACGCCCAGCATTAAGAAGTTCTAGTTGGTGGTTTGAACTCATGCAGCAGTGGCTCCATGGGAAAAAGACCTGGTGATCTGCTCCCCTAAAGATTAAACCAGAAAACCAAACCTGTTGCCGTCAAGTCGATTTCAACTCATAGCGACCCTATAGGACAGAGTAGAACTGCCCCATAGGGTTTCCAAGGAGTGCCTGGTGGATTCAAATTGCCAACCTTTTGGTTAGCAGCTGTAGCTCTTAATCATTACGCCACCAGTGTTCCCCCGCCCCGCCTAAAGATTAGCCTAGAAAATCCAATGTGGCAGTTCTGCTCTGTCACATGGGGTCACTATGACTCAAAATCAACACAATAGTAACTAACAACAACAAAAATAAATAAATAAACATCTGGGATGCCTCTTGGTGGAGAAGCACTTAACACCAGCTTGCACTTGGAGAAAACTGACCTCTGTCGCCTTACTATCAAATAGTCTAGACAATGACCATAAAGGGGACGACAGCAGAGGTCACCACCTATTGAGCACTCACTACATTAAGCACATCTCATACCTTATATATCATGACAATGATTTGGAGGAGGAAGAGTCTCACTTATAGGACCCTTAAAATAAGGGATATCACAAAGCTAGACCTAGACTAGGGACCAGTAAGCAGGAAGGGGAGGGGACTGAAAACAGGTCCCATGAAGAACAGTTGATTCAGCCTGCAGAAGTATCCTCAAGGCTATCTGAAAGTATCCCCAGGGCTATCATGGGGAAAATGAGCCTCTCTTTTTTTTTTTTTTTTTTTTGTGCAGGTAAGACCAGGACTAGTACCGGGAATTATAAGGCAATGGATTTAGGGTCAACTAATGGTCAAGATAGCCCCATGGTAGAATTAGCCAGCTCCTGGAGTTGGGACAAGTCCTGTCAAGGAGATGTCACAGGTGTGAAAGTTGAAATACATATCCTCTGGTTTTCCTTCCATCCCAGATTCCTATAGTTCACAACACTATTAATTGGATATCATCTGTGTGCAAAGTAGAGGGGGAGCAGAGACTGAAGAAGTCAAGTTCGGCTGATGCTTTTCTTACATCTTTGATAGCCCTATTAAGATTATCTGATCAGTAACACTCTGATAGTACTAAAATGGGGTCAGCAAGGCCTTGTAGAAATGGGTATGGATACCTTTCACTAAAATAATGTCAAAAATCAATTTATCTTGATTAAGAGACAAGATGACAAGTTCTTTCCTTACCAAATGCTAATGTGCTCTCTAGGAAAGAATGTCTCTGGGGGTCTGTTCCTATCCCTTTTTGCAGATAGTGAAACTGAAGCTCTTGAAGAAGCTACTTTTCCAAGGCCCCACCATAAGTAAAGAAGCATGTGCTTCAGGGGAAAGGCCAGTGGGGTAGGCTTCACAATACCTAACTTCTCTCAGCTCTGCCCCTTACAACCTTGGACAGGAAAATTGACTACCATGAGCCTCAGTTTACTCATCAAATAAATGGGGATATCTGGTCTCGAAATAAGCAGGATTCTCAACCCTGAATGTATATTAGAATCAACTAGGGAAATTTTTAAAAAATCACCAGCGCTCAAGATGCATCACCAGAGATGCTGATTAGTCAGTCTGAGATGGAGCACAGGAATAGTTAGTTTTGTTTTTTTAATGATTGTTGTTTTTGTTTTGTTATTAACAGCCAGGTGATTGTAATGCACAGCCCCGGTTGAGAACCACTACACTCAGGCTATTCTGGGATCAAAGGAAATGTTGTGAAAACGTCTTTGAAAATAAAAAAGCAGTATATTAGGGGTGTTGTCACCTAGGTAACCTGAAGCCAATCAAATTGTTCAGCCTTCTTTTCTCTTTCTTTTTACTCTGGGCATATCTTACGTTGTGAGAAGAATGTCTTGTGAAGGAGGCCAGGGACAAAACTGAAAGCTGAACAGGTATTGGACCTCTCAGCATCTCATGTTATTCCATCCAGAAGCAATTACTAGGTACCTTGGATGAATAAGACAGCCAATCTCCATGGCCTTAAGGAAGAAAATGCCACTATATTCATTTACTACAAGAGGAGGAAAAGACACAGTCCCTGACTTTGGCTCTAAAAGCTTGTTTGTCCTTTAGGTGTGTTTGTGATAACATAACGTTCTGCTGGGGGAGGGGAGAGACACAACATTAGAGATAAGAAAATCATTAGAGATGTACCTCCTCAGGAAAGGGGAAAAAAAAAAAACTTTGTCAAATGAGTCAACCTTCAACACAGGCAGTTATTTTCCAAACTGGAAAACTACTTGGCTAATTCCATGATAGACACCAAATTCCATCACCTAAATTTTAACACAGTTCACTGGAAGGCATTGCCCATTAGCCGCTTCTTCTGTGGGCTCTCTGAGTCCTGCTGCAGACAAATCTAGCTCTTCCTCCTTGATACTGTGTTTGCCATTTTTATGGAATTTCGAGGAAGCATTTGTTTGGCACCAACTGTATACCATGTAGGATGCTAGGGCTTCATATACATCTAATTTAGAACCAAAACAATCCTGGGAGGTGGGTATTTATCACCTTCATTTTGCATAGGAGGAAATGAAAGCTCAGAGAGGTTCAGAACCCAAGGTCATGCAGCCAGCCAATGACTTGGCCTAGGTTCTAATCCAAGTGCAAGTCTATCTTACTAGCTTTCCACTTTACTTGATCTTTTCTTAAAAAGATATCACCATGCTAAGGGAAAGCACCATACTGAGATATGAAGCCTGTTGCCTACATCACTGCCAATTTGCTGTGTGACCTTGGGCAAGTCATTTCCCTTCTCTGGCCTAGGTGTCCTTATTTGTCAAATGAAGGAATGTAGGTTAATCTAATTGATCTCTAAGATTCCTCTTGGTTGTAGACATATATCAGTGGTTCTCAACCAGGGCAATTTCGCAACCTGGAATACATTTGCAATATATCAAGACATTTTCACAACTGGGTGGGGGGGGCGGGTGCTGCAGGCATTTAGTTGGGTGAGGCCAGGGATACTGCTAAACATCCTACAATGCACAGACAGATTCCCACAACAAAAATCTTGCCCAAAATGGCAATAGTCAAGGTTGAGAAACCCTGCCTTATATAATTACAGCATCCCAATATTAGTTGCATGTTGGGATGTGGATGATATTAAGACAAGGCTGAATAGGAAAGGGGCAAGAATCCTAAATCAGATGAACCAGCAGAGGAGATGAAAAATTCTGTGAATTTAGGCAAAGAAGAGGTTGAGTTTAGGAAAGTAAACTGAAGTCGGAAGAATTTAAACCATGGCATAGTAGAACATTCTCAATACCTGAAGGACTGTGGGTATTTTGGACTATGGGAAATGTAGACAACAGTGTCTTCTCTATGGTTCACATGGCAGGAGCTCCTTGGATGTATGCAAAGGCTCAACATATATTTATCTGTAATACCGATGCAGTGAGTCTATTACCAACAAAGAAAATAGCACACAAAATCAGTCCATAAACACCAAGCTATAGGAGTTATACGGTGGAATCATTAATATTAATAGCAATAAACATCTGCACTGTGCTGGGAATTAAGTTGCCTAATATAATGCTCACAGTATCCTTAGAAATAGATACTAGGATTTCCACTTGATTAATGTTTTATATAAAGGAAAGAATGTCTCTGGGGGTCTGTTCCTGTCCCTTTTTGCAGAGAGAGATTATCTAATCATTATTTTATCCAACTATACGTTTTGCTCTTGACTGCTAGCTTAAAGGTTGGCAGTGTGAACCTACCCAGCAGTACTGTGGAAGAGAGTCCTGGCAATCTGCTTCTGTAAAGCTTACAGCCAAGAAAGCCCTATGGAGCACAGTTCTACTCTGTAACAGATGGGGTTGCCATGAGTTGGAATGGACTTGATGGCAACAAACAACAGCATATTTTATAAATAAGGCGACTTGAAGCTCTAAAGAATAAGTGACTTGCCGAATTCACATCACAAGTTCCCGGTAAAACTAAGTCTAGTTAGAAGCTAACTATCCTGGCTCAAAGTCCAGGGTACTTTACATGTAGCAAAGAGGTCTTCTTACACTCAAACAATCCTAAAAGTTGAGTGTAAATGGTTTCTTTCCCTAAAAAAAAAAAAGTCTAAAATAACTGGCTTTTCCTAGCCCTATAAAAAAATCTGTTGCCGTCAAGTCAATTCTGACTCATAGTGACCCTACAGGACAGAGTAGAACTGCCCCATAGGGTTTCCAAGGAGCAGCTGGTATATTCAAACCAGTGGTTAGCA